GTTTTACTGGGACGTTTCCCACATATGCTACTAATCCATGAGGACATGTAGGCCAAGAGTGGTTCCCAAATCTGACTGTTCCCTCTCAGTCTCTTGTGTGGGATTTTTCTTCATATCCGTTTCTTACATGTTCCGAGACTCCTGGCTTGCTGGGCTTCCCCGCATAATCTCCCACAGGGACCTCAAATTGGTCCAAATTGAATTAACCATTTCCAACCTACCCAGCCCTGCTCCTGTATTTCTATATTGTGGATGAAATACTCAGCCACTCAGCTGCCAATACGACAACCTTGGGAATCTTCATTGACTCCTCCTTCTTGCTTACCCTGGATCAACCAACCAAGACCAAGTCCTGTTGATTTTACTTCATGAATATCCCTTATACCCATCTCCTCCTCTGGATCTTTTGTCACTGCTCTGGCTCAGCTCTTCATCATTTCTCCAGTAGATCTATAATAGCTTCCTTGCTGATATCTCTTCCAGAGTTTCTCAAAAGAGATGCTATTGGCATTTTGGGAAGGACAGTTGTGCATTTGTGCAAAATGCTTCCAGCATCCTATGATCTTTAGCATCCACAGTCTGCATACATCGGATGTCAGTAGTGCCCCTTAGTTGTAAGGACCACTCTCTCCTCCCGCAAGTGATGCTAGCAAGGAGTTAAATGCTGGTCAGAGACCAAGGAATATCAAGGGGCAAAGGAGAGCCACAGGAACCATCAGGGGTGACCTGAGCCAAATCCGAAGGCAGGACCCTGTGCCCTTGATGGGGCTTCCATACCCTCCAAGGGTAGGAATGCAGCTACTCCAAGGGGCTTAGATTCAGCAGACATTGTATCTCTGCCCCCTGCCCTGTCCTCCTTCAATTGTGTCTTCAATCTGCTTTATTTTCCTCTTCTCACTCTACCCATTACCCCCAGGAGACTGATTTCACTTGCAAGCTCCAAATGTCATGTATATGTCGACTTCTCCCAAATTTGCATCTCTGGCCAAGATATCTCTTCTCACCTTGAAAGCCTTGTGTATGTTAGAATTTAGTATATGAAAAAGGTGGCTATTTGAAGCAGTTCAGAAAGGTAAGTTATTCAACAAATTTTGTCCATACATATGGAAAACGTTTGAGATAGATCCTTAACTAATTATAAAGTATGTTCCTGATGGTTAAAGAAACTAATATAAAAGTTGCAAAGTCACAGAAGAAAATATAAAAGGTATGTACCTTTTGATGGTTCCTGTTCAAGATGGTGACGTAGGAAGGTCCTGAATTCACTTCCTCCCACGGACACACCAAGTCCACAGCTACATATGGAAGAATTTCCTCTGAAAAAGACCTAAAGGTGGCTAAGAGATGACTACACATTGGGCAAAAGAGAAGAAAACCACATGGAAGAGGGCGGGAGAGGCTGGGACACATCTCGACATAAACCCCATCCCCAGTGCACTGACCCCCAGTAGGGAGGGAGGGAACTCAGAACCCCAAGCTTCTCCTTGAAGAGCAAAGGGTTCCAACCCCACATCGGGCACCCCAACTTTTAAGACCTGCACCAGAGAGACAAGCTCCCAAATCACCTAGCTTTGAAAACCAATGGGGCTTGCGTCCAGGAGACCCACAAGGTGGTAGGGATCTGAGAAAGTGCTCTTAAAGGGCTGGTGCGCTCGGACTGACCGGCCCCAGGGCCCAGGGCAGAAGCAGCCAGTTGTGCCCTGACTGTAAGGGAAAGAGGCCCCTTTGCTTATATTAAAGCATTAGCCTGAGGGGCAGACATCTAATTTAACACACACATCTAAGAGCCTGCTGGAATATTCTCCCAGGAGGAGACTGGTGGGCACCACCTTTGCCTTCTCCCTCTGCCTCGCTCTAGCCAAGTGAGGAGTGGGGGAAATGGGTGAAGGGGGTCAAAAGGTACAAAGTTCCAGTTATAAAATAAAAAGAAAAAAAATAAAAGAAACGTGAAATTCTCTTAAAACAAAAAAGAAAAACCAGGAAAGAGATTGGTAAACCTGATTATATCAATATGATAACTTATGAAAAACAAAAGACTCATAAACAAAATTAAAGATTGAGCAGTATAAGCGAGGACTAATATCCAGAATATACAAAGAATTCCTCCATGTTAAAGAGAAAAACACACATAATTCAATATTGAACTGTATAAAACAGAATAGGCATTCACGGAAGAAAATAATGTGGAATGACCATGAAATATGAAAACAATTTCCATCTAGTTAGTAATCAGGGGAATTAAAATAAGCTTATTTCTTCTCTCTAGATTGAAAGACGGTGTAAATGGAGACAAGATATTTACTCCACATGCTGTGGGCAGTTTATAAAATTTCAGTGCTGAACTGGGAGGAAATTTGGCAGTATCTTAGAACTTAAAGTGTACACATTCTTTGACTCAGGAATTCCACGTCTCATCTACTCCCAAGGACAACTCACACATATGCACGGGACACACAAGAATGTTCATTGCCGCCCTGCTCGTTACAGCAAACAAGCGGAAGAAACCCGATGGCTAAATACAGTATGAGTAAATGTACTCTGGCCTGTTCCCTCTGAAGATACTATACAACAGATAAAAAAAAATTACATACATATGTACTGATGTGGACATTCAGTGAGAAGAGATAGGTTCAAAAATAACAGTATTATATGTTGTTATATAAAAATAAGCAGAGGGCCAAACCCAGTGGCCTAGTGGTTAAGTTCAGCACGCTCTGCTTTGTCTGCCTGGGGTTTAGTTCCCAGGCCCAGACTGCTGCTAGCGCTCTGTTAACACCGTTCTGTTAGCAGCCACACTGTGCTCATGGCCCACATACTAAAAAAAGAGGAAGATTGGCATGGATTTTAGCTCAGGGCAAATCTTCTTTAGCAAAAATAAAATAAAATAATAAAATAAACTGAGAGAAAAGAAATCATAATGGACATTTTTGGTAAAGGGTGGGTACCTATGAAGGAGTTAAGCCTTTAATTTACCTTTTTGAAAATTTTGTCACAAAACACACCTTTAATATTACCATAAGAAAATTGAAGTAAAAGAATATATTAGGTGTTGTTCCTTCCCTTTACTGAAAAGAGAAGAAAAGGGAGAACCAAACGCAAGCAACTACATCAGAAAGCAATCCCTTAGCCTGTGTTCTCGCCCTCTTCTCCTTCATGAAGGAAGAAAATAATCAACAACAGCAAGCCGTATCTCCACCAGGGGGCGCCAGTGGCCAACTTCCCGCTCAAGAGCACTACAGCTCATCGTCAGGGTTTCCAATGCCCCACACTGTTTGGAAACACTTTTCTGGAAACATACTATAGAAATGTTCTCTGAAAGTATCATCTTAAGCATCTGCCATTTACCTCTATTGGGACTAGGAAATCTATTCTAATTTTGCTGATGGAGAGATTTTTCCCATTTCCCACTGCCACCACCCTTTAGAAAAATATGATTACATTCTGCAAATCTAACAAAGCATTTTTGGCTCTACTAAGTATTATTTCTTAAAAAAAGTTTAAGGGGCCAGTCCATGGCAGAGTGGTTAAGTTTGCGTGCTCCACTATGGCAGCCCAGGGTTCACTAGTTCAGATCCTGGGCGTGGACATAGCACCACTCATTTGGCCATGCTATGGCGGCATCCCACATAGAAGAACCAGGAGAACCTACAACTGGGATATACAACTATGTATTGGGGGGTTTGGGGAGGAAAAAAAAAGAGGAAGATTGGCAACAGATGTTAGCTCAGGGCCAATCTTCCTCACCAAAAAAAGAAAAAAAAGCATACCTTTAAAAAAAAATTTGTCACAGAATTTCTGATTAGCATAGTACCATCCAACTACCAATCAGAAGCCATTATCATCCAACAGATAACAGGATCCTAACCCTATGGCTCCTTGACACAAAAGAACCAGCTTCCTATTTGGCGAAGGCTCCTCTCTGTGGTGAGGAGATACCAGAAAGTTGATGCTATCTCCACCGGAGAAAACCAGGTATGGTATAAATGCAGATTTCAGGTTATTTCTAATTCCCCTTTGTGTCAGGGGTTCATTGTCAATGAAGATTTTTAATGTTCAAAACAGCAAAAATTTTGTTACATCATTGTTTTTATAGGTACCCAAGTGGGGGTGGTGAGTTGGCAGTTGATATGAGTCTTGGGTATGATGAAATGATCTAAACTAGAGCCAGGACCCACATCTAAGGAACTACAAATAAACAAAAGTAGTAGAGTGATATTTAGAGATATTAATTAATGTTTTTCCCCTCTTGCGTATTTCCTTTTTTTCCCCCTGAACTTTCCCCTCAACCACCTTCATCCAGGAAGTTGGGCCAGTTTAAGTTGATTGTCTCAGGGGAGGACAGCAATAGCAGAAAACAGCCTGCTACTCTCTGGTGTCAACCTACAAGAACAGAAACCAGTTTAAGAGGCAAAGCATTTATTTGGGATCAAAGAATTACAATTTGGGAAGCGCAGATTCAGGTAGAAACCCAAATAGTGTCCTGATTACAGGAGAGGGGCTCAAAGCTTTTATGGGGAAAAGGGAGGAGGATGAAGTAAATTGTGTTAAAGAAGAGTTCACTGGTGCTAGATGAAGTAACGCTGGGTTTGTACTTCCCAGATTGGCTTGAGATTCGGTCATCAGGCAAAAGGCTAGACTTGGACATATACTTCATTGATTGGTTAGCGATCTGGTCATCAGCAAATTCCAGTTTCATCAGTCCTTACAAACAGGCTATTCTTGTCCTTACTGACCTTTAGGAATGTTGGCAGTTTGATCCATTTTGTAAGATAAATAAAACAAGACACACAAGGCAATTCCTCTGAAATGGCTGCTCTGGCTCTATTTTAATATGGCTCCCCTCATGTCATCTTTCACACTGGCTAAAGCCCAAACTCACTAAGGAGATTAAGTGAGATGCCTCTGAGGTAAACGTCACAATAGAGGGAGTGCCTTTGAGTCTAAAATCATAATTGAATTCCTTTGGGTGGGGTGGGGCCGGGAGGAAGTCTGGTACTAGAGTCTAAAGAGTTAGGAAGTTTCCAGAAAGGAATGGCCACAGCCTCTCAGGGATTCCCAAGTCCCAGAGGCCCAGAACATTGGGTGAGTCCTAAAGAGAGGGCCCATGTGTGAAGCTATCTGGGCAGAGTTCTTCGGTGAGTGAGGAGAACAAAGGGCAATTGGACTCCACAGAGATCTTAGGGGACCTGAGGACAGTGGACAGGAAGTGATATCTCTGTGGGGGAACCGATAGTTAATTCTCAATGATGGCACAGAGGAGGCAGAGAGCTGTGAGTTGGGGTGGGGATGAACTGGAACATAATGGGATTAAATTTCCACTCTTCCTATGGAACAGTGGCAGTGCTGGTGGTAAAGGGACTCCAAATAGAAATCGAATTAAATCTAGATGAAACTACATGTTTTTTAATATGAATCTGAAGGCTGAGATTCCTTCTTGAAACACGGGTAGGTCTTGTTTTCTTATCAACGCTGCACAATAATGCTAATTTATGGGAAGACTCCTGGAACCTCTATGCTTATTCCATCATGAGATGGCCATATGGCTCCCTTGTTTCCTGAAGGAAGTCTGGAAAAAGAATTACAGATGTGGAAGGAAACAACACACTCAGCTTAAAACTATAAGCAACAGGAGGCACTGGTCATTGGAGGTTGACTGCAAGTAAAGAATGGACATAGTTGGGTGTATGATTTTCAGATATTTTCTCCCAGGTGTTGGGTTGTCTTTCATTTCATTGACGGTTTCCTTTGCCTTGCAGGAGCTTTTTAATCCAAGGTAGTCCCATTTGTTTATTGTTTCTGTTGTTTCCCTTGCCTGAGTAGACATGGTATTAAAAAAGGTACTAAAACTGATGTCGAAGAGTATACTGTCTATATTTTCTTTTGGGAATTTTATGGTTTCAGGTCTTACATTCAAGTCTTCAATCTATTTTGAATTAATTTTTGTGTATGGTGTAAGATAATGGTCTACTTTCCTTCTTTTGCATGTGGCTGTCCAGTTTTCCCTGCACCGTTTATTGAAGAGACTTTCCTTTCTCCATTGTATACAAATCATATATCTGACAAGGGGTCAATTTCCAAAATATATAAAGAGCTCATACAACTCAACAACAACCAAAAAACCTGATCAAGAACTGGGCAGAGGATACGAATAGACATTTTTCCAAAGAAGATATACGGATGGCCAACAGGCACATGAAAAGATATTCAACATCACTAATTATTAGGGAAATGCAAATCAAAATTACAATGAGATATCACCTTACACTCATCAGAATGGCTATAGTTAACAAGACAAGAAATAACAAATGTTGGAGAGGGTGTGGAGAAAAGGGAACCCTATACACTGCTGGTGAGATTGCAATCTGGTGCGGCCATTATGGAAAACAGTATGGAGATTTCTCAAAAAGTTAAAAATAGAAATACCATATGATCCAGCTATCCCACTGGTGGATATTTATCCAAAGAATATGAAATCAACAACTCAAAGAGATTTATGCATTCCTATGTTCATTGCAGCATTATTCACAATAGCCAAGAAGTGGAAGCAACCAAGTGCCCATCAACTGATGAATGGATAAACAAGATGTGGTATATATATACAATGGAATACTACTGAGCCACAAAAAAGACAACTATGGATGAATTTGAGGTTATCATGCTAAGTGAAATAAGCCAGACAGAGAAGGACAAACGCCATATGATTTCACTCATATGTGGAAGATAAACGTGGATAAGGAGAACAGATTAATGGTTACCAGAGGGGAAGGAAGTGGGGAGGTGGGTGAAAGGGGTAAATGGGCACGTATGTGGTGATAGATAAAAACTAGACTCTTGATGGCGAACATGATACAGTCTATACAGAAATTGATTTATAATAATGTACACCTGAACTTTACACAATGTTATAAACCAATATGACCTCAATAAAATAATTTTAAAAAAAAGAATGAACATAGGACCCTTCAATTGAAGGAACACACTTTCTGCTTCAGTATGTTTGAGAGAATCCGCCAGAGCTCCCATGAAGCGTTAGCTTCTCAGGCAAACACCTTCCTCTTAGCCAGGATCCTATTCTTATCTGTGACTTCAGTGAGCACCTCTTGGCTGATGGCTTCTTGATCTGCTTCTCCTTCCCAGACGCGTCAACCCTGTTTCAGATGCACTCCTACAACTGCCTGCCTTCCTCTCCCCAGGACTCATCCTACGGGCGCTAGAACCCAGCACATCCAAACCATAGCTCACCTGTTTCATTTATTCTGTGTAAGAGTAAAATAAAGTCCACCAGAGCATTTAAAAATACAAAGTTTATTAAATTGCAGGGTAAGCAGTACATGCCAGTGAAGAAATTCACTGAAAAGTTTGCAGATGGGAAAAAGTTAGGGGTTTTTTAAGAAGTTATGTTAATTAAGGATTGAATGAGTCCATATGTCTGTCCCATTGCTCACTGGTCAGGAAAGGTCTTCCAATAGATCTGTTAGGGTCTGTCTTTCCAGGGACCAAGTTCATGGTCCTTTATCAATCAGTTGGAGTGAAATATGATATTCAGTGTTGTCATCTCCTGGGAAAGTGTAAGTGGAAAATTTTCCTTTGACAAACTTACTTTTTTTTTTGCCACTAGAATCAATGATGGGTTTGAATCTAAATACTGCTTGTTTTGTATCTTTATAAGATAGATCTTCAAAATGAGACTTACAGGCCAACAGATATGTGGATTTGTGACTTTACTGGAAATTATGAGAATATCTTGCAAAGTATATTTGCCCACCCACCACCACCCACCACCACCACCACCAACAATGTGTAGGTGCTCCTCTTTCCTTCCTCTTTGCCAGTTGTTTCTTACTTCTCTTAATTTAAGACCTTTTTTCCAATCTCGGGTGTGAAAAATGATATTTCATTCTTATATTAATTTATATTTCCCTACTAGTGAGATTGAATTTCTTGTCCGAGTTTTATTGGTTATTTGCATTTCTTCCTGTATCAGTTGCGTGTTCACGTCCTTTGCCCTTTTCCATTAGTCTATTTTTAAATCAATCTGTAGGCTCTCTTTGTGTACTAGTTCTACTAACCTATTGGTCACATGTGTTAAAAGTGCTTTGTCCGCTCTATTGTTTTTTGTTTTGGCTTGGTTTTCTTTGTGGTAATTTTTATCATACGTGTTTAAAAAATAGTAGCCCAATATGTCAATCTTTTCCTTTACAGTTTTTGGATTTTGTGCCTTCTTAAGAAGGACTCCTTATCCTCAAAGTTTTCAAGGAGTCTCCTAATATTGACACAGAATACCCTCATCATATGTGATTTTCCTCTTTTCTTGTGGTGTTCTTCTTCTTTGCCTTGGTAGGCACCCACAGAGATGGGTTATTTCCCTCCTGCAGCCTGGCGGTACCTCCGACTCTCAGGGACTCTGCCATTGACTGGAGACTCCTACTTGACTGGAGTGGTGCATTTAGTGATTTGTGCCAAGCAGGAGCCAATAGTACTATGCCTAGACTCTGGTGAATGGTGAACGGGGATATGGATGGAGAGGCAGAGGAGGAGGGCAGGGAAGTGTGACTGAAGCCAGGTAGTGCATGGAATTCAACATCCTACAGTGGAATTGGAGTGGAATAGGGTGGGTGCTGAGGGCCTGCTTCTGGGAAGACCTCAGCTGCTCACTTCATGTTGGGTCAGAGTGGCCAGTGCCTCTGTCTCTTGGAATGATAAACCTCATAGAATGTAAGGAAAATTGGAGATTTCTACCTCTAGGGTTGGAAGGCAATGAACCCCTTCCTTGTTAGTGCTAACAGTGTGAATATTCAGCCTTTTCCTATGCTTATAAGTGCATGTGAACAAGAGGCTGCATTTCCTCTGTTCCCATTCCCTCCTGGATACCAGCAACACTCATTACTTTCCCAGGTGTGGGGCTTGGGCCCTGCACTCTGCCCCTGTCCACGGTGCTGGAGACGCTCTTTAGACACTTACTTCTGGATAAAGACCTTGATAGACACCAGACCATTAGGCAGCCCATGGATCAAATAGTGGTTGAGCAGGCCAAACTTTCCACCTGACCCTAAGCAACCATATGTGAGATTGAACATCAGTGATGAGCAGCTCTTGTTTGGGGAATGCGTGAGGCACCCATATGAAGCTAAGTGTAGGGGAGGAACCCACAGGCTGCTGTGGCCGGTCACCTACTCCTGGTGCTTCCCTTTGATCCTTTGCCTTTACAACCTGGAAACCCACCACCACCTCTATCACCTAAAAGATTCAAACCTTCTGCTGTGCTGTGGAGTAACATAATTCTGCCACAGAATTTAGCTCTATCTTTTGTCTCATTCCTGAAATCTTACGCAAGAATCTTGAGTGGAGTATTTCTACCAGACCTCAGGAGAGCTGGCTTCATTCAGATCAAAAATGACGGGCCTACCCTCCCCTCACTCTTAGTCTCTCTTCCTCCTCTCAAGTCTCCATTTAGGACACACTTCCCTTCCTGGGACTGGAAACCCTCTCTAGAACATGATGCTTTTCTATTTTTCCTCTAGCTCCATTTGCATGGCAAAATTTGGGCAAGAATTTCCCATGTAATTAGCTCCTTAGAGTCAGGAAACCACGCCTGCTTCCTATCTAGTTCAGGGAAGAGGTTTATTACAGGGAAAGGAGAAATTTGGAAGGAGACTGGGGAAGTGTAAGTAGAGGCAATGGAGAAAAACCAGGAGACAGTGGAAGCACAGAAACCAAAGGAAGAAAGAATGACAAGAAGGAGGACGTTCCCTATGCTTGGAAAAGGAAATCTCCCCGGCAGAGATGAAGAGAAAGATGGACACTTCAAGGTGCCTGCTCCTTTTGTGTTCCTAAATGGAGCAGTGCCTGCCAAGGAGTGGCAGGGTGGGGTGGGCAAGGTTAACAGTGGGGCAGGCCCAGTAGGAAGGAGTATTTTATTACTGCATCATTTCGAATTGCTGGTGCATGGTGACAACAGAAATCAGACCAACTTGGTTCTATTATTGTTTTTAAATTCTTTACCAACAAGCCATTCTGTTATTGCTTGCACCCAGGGTGGACCACTCCCACCTTCCAACACTCCTGAAGTACACCAGTGAAATGGAGGAACCCAGTGTGACCCTTTTATTTGTCCAATATGGATGAGTTTGGGACAGGCCCAAATCTGGAAGTGAGGAGAACTCTAAAGTTGTCTGCATATTAAAGGAGATTATTGATTCTTAAGCATGCCTGAAGGAGAGTCAAGCCTGACTTAGAAAATGAGAAGCAGGAAATATTTAAGAGGAGAATGCCTAGAAATAGGGTGATGTGAACTCTCTCCATCACCCCAAACCTTTGGGAAAAGACCTGTGGATTGGCTTGAGGTTGGGATGGATGGCAAATCATGGAAATGGGGCAGAGAACAGAGAACAGTCCATCACAGAAAATAAACACAAGTGATATTAAGATTTCATGGAGAACTAGGACTCAGAGCCAAGGAGACTATGAAGAATCTGCAGGAATCTTGGAGATGGCATCGGACTTCACGTAGTGTCTCATGTGCAGAGCCTTGTGAGTGACAGCGTAAGGAGGCGGAAATTCATATGTTCCCTCCTGACTTCAGTGTAGTAGAAATAAGCAATAGAGTGAGACTAGTGCTCAGGCTCGTGGAGATTCTGTTATTATAGAGCACGTCTTTCTCATGTGGCGTGAATCTTGCTTTCTATCACTTCTCAACCAAGGATTTCCTGCCCATCCTTCAAGACTCAGTTCAGATCTCACTTGCTCTATGAAACCTTATCCAACAACTCCAAGAAAAAAAATTAGCTCTTTTTCCTGTTTGTTTCTAGAACATTCTTTTATTTTTTTAATTTTTATTTTTGCTGAGGAAGACTTGCCCTGAGCTAACATCTGTGCCCATCTTCCTGTGCTTTTTTGTATATGGGACACCTCCACAGTGTGGTTGGTGAGTGGAGTAGGTCTGTGCCCGGGATGCGAACCCATGAACCCGGGCTGCCACAGTGGAGAGTGTGGAACTTTAACCACTCGGCAACAGGGCCAGCCCCTCTAGAACATTCTTTTAAATTTGTATTATGCCACTTGTGCTTTATTGCTGTTATCTGTTTCTATATTTGTCTTCCTCAGTAGACTGTGTAGAAGAGAAACACTTTGTGTTGTTTGGATTTGAATCTGTTAGATTCATGGTGTTTATTAAAACGTGCACATTGACTCATGAGTAGATAGTGAAAACAGCAGATTGTGAGCTGTATATTTTAAAAATAGAAAACAGAACAGAAAGCATCAAAGTTATCCACACAGTGTAAGGATGAGTAATGCTTCATGAAATTTGTTTCTATTATCTATCTGGGAGTCCTGAGTCACAACGTGAAGTTTTCTTCTAAAATAAGATCTCCTCATCTAAAAGCAAGAATCTTGGTGCCGGCCTCATGGCCGAGTGCTTAGAGTTCCGCGTGCTCCACCTCAGCAGCTCGGGTTTGTGGGTTCAGATCCCGGGTGCGGACTTACTCCACTCATCAGCCATGCTGTGGAGGATACATACAAAGTGGAGGATAATTGGCATGGATGTTAGCTCAGGGCTAATCTTCCTCAAACAAACAAACGAAAAATAAATAAGAGGAGGATTGGTAATGGATGTTAGCTCAGGGTAAAACTTTCTCACACAAAAAAATAACAAGTAAAAAATAAATAAAAACTAGGATCTTTTTTAAGAAATCAAACACCGGAAACTCAGTTATGGGGTAGACTGTAGGAAGAAAGCTATACCTACAGATTCTAAAGTTTTCAGACTATAAGCAGATCTACACCACATAGATAGCAATAGGTGAATTTACACAAGTTTATAGCTGAAATGAGCAAATAACATAACTACCATGTCCTATAGATTATGGCAGAGGTCACAAACTATGTCTGTGAAGGTAATAAATATTTTAGGTTTCGCGGGCTATAAGGTCTCTGTCACAAATACTCAGTTGTGCCATGGTAGGGCAAGAGCAGCCACAGACAAATGCAAAGGAATGAGGATGGCCGGGTTCCAGTAAAATTTGAATTTCACATAATTTTATGTACAAAATGTTCTTTTTCTTTTGATTTTTTTCAACCATTTAAGAATATAAAAGTCCTTCGTAGCTCATTGTGTTTTAAAATATACTCTTCAGTCACGCACCACGTAACATTTCCATCAATGAAGGACCACATATACCACAACATGGTCCCATAAGATTAGTCCCATATGGCCTAGGTGTGTAGTAGGCTATGCCATCTAGGTTTGTGTAAGTGCACTCTATGATGTTTACACAATGATAAAATCACCTAATAATGCATTTTTCAGAATGTATCCCCACTGTTAAGTGATGCATGACTGTATTAATAGAAAATTTGAGGAGTAGAAAGGCCTATGCATCAGGAGATGATGACCATTGAAAAGATAGTTTGTTATTCACAGGTTCCAAGAGGAGAGGGCACACCATGCCACACATGGCCCCGTGGGGAAGCACCAGGTCAGCCCTGAAGAAGAGGAGGAAATTGTGGGTGAGAGCCTTTACTGTTGTTGCTGTGGGAAGGACTGGGTGAGGGAAGATAAGCAGGCTTAGGACTGGCTTGTTTGAATAATTTCAGCAGGCTCTGGGGCATAGCATCTGTCCCTGGTTTTCTGGTACCTGGCCCCGGAGTGTTCAGGGCAGGTGGATGGTAGTCTGGAGTGTGAGAGCCCAGTAAAGGAGGTGGTTGGGGCTGGGGGCTCTGGACTGGTGGGTTTGTGTTTGAAAAGCATGCCCATTTGTTAACTATCTCTAGGAAGTGGCTAACCCTGGGACGAGCAGTTCCTCCAGGACCAGCGAGGCTCCAGATGTCAAAGCATCACATCCAGACGATAAAAGACATGGTCAACGCACCTGGCCATTTAAAAACAGGGGGCAGGCCAGATTTGGCCCACGGGCTGCGGATTGCCAATCCATGGGCTAGGAGAACAAAGATAATAGCTAATATCAAACATACAATTATTATGAAAAATAAAGACTTTATAGTAAATATAGTAAATCCTGAAGCTTCTTGATCTTTGCCACTAAACACTGAAGAAAGAAATTGTAATTTATGACAACAAGAAACAAGCTGTATCTATTTAAATTTAAGGAAGACATTACCCCCATCTGGCCAATGTATTCTGTTCACTCTGCTCCTCTTGTGCCCAGGACATAAGCATTCCCTAACCTGCTCTTTCATATCCTTACTGAGAAGAGTAAATTCCAGAACAGAACTAGAATTCTCAACATGATTGTATCTTCACAAGCACTCTAGTAAAATATTAGTGTGATCTCTGTGGTCTCATCATTTTACCCAAGGCTAAATGAAGGTTTTTGGAGCTCATAATCTAATTATATCTTTGTGAATTCCTTGAAGGCGAGGAGGGCATTTTCCTTCTCACGCGACCTCCTTGCTCACATGCTTTCACTGGCTGCCCGTTGCAGTTAGGAGAAAATACTTAGTCCTGCCCATGGCCCTACACCCTCCCTGATCTGGTGCCACCCTGCCTGTGGCTCCAGATGTATCTCTTGCCAAGCTGCCTCTTCTCAGTAGCCATGGAGTGGTCTTTAGATCCACAGATGGGCCAGGTCCTTTTATTTGCTGTTCCTCTGTCTGCAAGAACTTCCATCCTTTCCCCATCTCATTCCTCGTTCTTGAGGTCTTACCCGTCTCATCTAAATTGAGTCCCCTGCAAGTCTTTCCCATAGCTGTCTGTTCTCTTCCTTCACAGAGTTTTTCACAGCTCACATCTGTACAATTATCAACATAATATCCTTTTAATGTTTCTCTCTTCCATTAGGCCTCAGGTCCTTGAGGATTGAGGACCTGGTACACAGTAGCTACTAAATAAACCTTTGTTGAATGAATGAATGAGTGAGCAAAAGCAAAAGAAATGCATGGCAGCATGAGGCACAATGAAGAGTCTTGAGTGCAGGGTGAGGAGTGATCACTGTGCTGTGTGTATCAGCCTTGAATATTCCTAGTGGCTTTGTAAATCCTCATTCACATTTGAGAGCATTTTGAAGCAGCAACAGCTCAGTGGAAAAATGCCTCAGGCAGACTCTGCAAGAGAATGCTCAGTGTGCCCAGGAAGAGAGGGAATCAGAGAGAACTTCAGGGCATTTAGATGATGATAATGAGTATGCATATGGAGGTGATGTTCCTGGGGAGGAGGAGTGAGACATACAATCTTTATTTAGTATAGTCAGGCCAAAGTGGATTTTTTGGGTTTTTGTTTGTTTGTTTTTTGGTGAGGAAGAGTGGCCCTGAGCTAACATTTGTACCAATCTCCCTCTGTTTGGTATATAGGAGGCTGCCACAGCATGGCTTGATGAATGGTGTTGGTCTGCACCTGGGATCCGAACCTGAGAACCTGGGCCGCCAAAGCAGAATGCACCAAACTTAACTGCTACGCCACTGAGCTGGCCCCGCAGGCTAAAAAGTTTTAATACACCCTTTTGACACTTTCCTCAACAATAACCCTGTTGCCACATTTACTTCACTATCACCCAAATGTAAACTGAGGCTTTACTGATGTATATAATCACTCCATTATTCTACGGGATGGTATGAGTAAGTGAGGAGTATTTATGCTGGTTGGCGGATTTAGAGTCTCTCCTTTCTTCTATTTTATTTTCAATATGTTCTATAATATGTAAGTAAGAAATGAACGCACAGCCCATCCCCAGCTCTCTCTCCATTCTGAGCTCTCCTTTGCACAGCGTTGGCTGGACAGCTGTAGTGCAGTGTTGAGTCTGTGGGCTCCAGAGCCATGATGCTGGGGTTTATATGTTGTGCCTTGGGACTTCAGGCACTTCACTTAACCTCTCTGGGCCTCAGTTTCCTTATATGGAAAGTGGGGATAATAACAGCACCTATGTCCTATAATTGTTACGAAGATTTAATGAGCAAATATACGTACAATATTCAGAATGGCGTCTGCAACATAGTGAGGCCAAAATAAATGTTAGCTATCATTACTATTTATATATGAAGTTAATACCTCAAAAGAAAACATAGTGAGCCTAACTCAACACAAAACGGGTATAAAACTCTGTTTACAGTGTTGTGTTGATTTACAACATAGTTTAGAAGGCTTTCTATTCAAAATAATAACCATAAAACAGTGGTGTTGCTCAAAACCATCCTCTGTAGCTGTGGGAAGAACCTCGTTCCCCAGACCACGTTCCTCAGGGCTCTGGAAGGTCAGGGTTTGGCTCTGTGTAGACTGCCTTCCAGTGGGGACCTCGTGGGACGGCTGGCAGCTGGAGGTCGACTATATTCTCATTTAACACAAGAAGACAGAAACCCATGCACACAACTTCTCTTTACTGCTTGGACAAAGACATTTTTTAGTGGAACTTCCTGTCTCATTAGCAAGCAGCCCAGAGCATGAGCTGGGAGAAGAAACATGGTGTAGACTCTGGATTCAGGTTGTCAATATGCCTTCGTCATGAGGACCACAGATCTCTATCAAGTTCTTCAGTGCACAAAGCATTCATTTAATCCTTACAGCAACTCTCAGGTTGGGCACATTGATCCCCATTTTAATGTTGAGGACACTGAGGTTTATAGAAGGGCAATGACATGCCCAATGTCACACATCCATATATTGGATCATTCATTTGTTCAATGTGCCAAGTAGACCCAGGACAAGGAGCTGACTAGTCCCCTCACAGGGGCTCAGGGTGTGCTATGAGGAAACCATTACAATACTGAAGAGGGGTGCTGGGACGTAGGGGGGCTCCAGTGGACTGGGAGAACGCTCGGAAATGGCATTTTATACAGATTTGAGCAGGAAGAGTCCCCAGAAATGTAGCAATTGAGCTGAGTCTTGAAATAGGAGTGGCACCTTACCGGGTGACAAGAGCTCAGAAGCCTATGCCTCCTGGCCTTAGAAAATCTACCTTATAATCTAACACTTTGTAATATATGTAAGTGTGACCCACAATAAACCAACTAAAATAGATGTGTTTAATCTTTTTGCTTTGTTTATTGAGTTTAAATTTTTAAAATTATTACTTTTTCACAATGGACTTGAGTTCATTATTAAAATTTTTGAAAATAATGGAAATAAGCAAAAATAACAAATACTTTGGTCTCCATATTTCAGATCCTTTTTTTTCTGCATAAAGAACCGTGTTTGTATCGACCTAACAAGATGTCAGGAACATCTCCCCCGTCAATAAACATGGACCTTTGATATCATTGTAATGTCTGCAGAGTGTTAAATTATGCGGTAGCACCACAATTCATCGGGCTGACTCCCTGTTGGTAGACATTAGGGCCATTTACCGGACAACCCTGGAGCTGTGCCAAACTGAGCAGGAGAATGTGGCCAAGAGAGAGGCAGCTGGGGACAAATCAGGTGATAATTATTCGGTGACCCACCCTTGCCTTTTTGGTAAGTTATTTGCCCCTTTTTAGCTGCAATTTTGAAAGCTAATCTGGGTGTTTTGCAAGAAAAACAAATAAGCAGAAGTCCCTTTGGAGCCTTAGAAGTGGACGTGGGGTATGTGCAGTGACAGAGGCTTGCTGAAGTGGCCTCTGGGAGCAGGTGGACATGGGACAACAGCACACTTTTCACCTTCCTGAGCATGAATTCTCTACAGGGGTACATTCTGAAGTGCAATACAACCTTGAAAAAAACCCACAGAACATTTCCATGTCACTGATTCTTGCTTTCAAAATGAAATTTGTATCCACCAAAGTGGGGTGTGCTGATATCCTAAGTAAACCTTAAAAAAATCTCTGGGTTCTGACATAGACATGCATACTTCAAAGGATGTGACCTTGAAATCAACATAACTTGGCTGCTTCTTCTCTCTTTTTTCCACCCTCTCCCAGGTTTTTGAGTGCCAACTTTGTGCCAGGTGCTCTGCAGGCACTATGGATGCATAATGGAAATGCGGATAATAAATGGAATGGGGACCTTACCCATGAGACCTTATTCACACATCCTCCTGGTAGTGGGCTATAGAAACAAATCCACAAACGCACATGTAAGGGCAAGGCATGTAGGTCCAAGGGGAGCGTAACTTGTCTAGGGAGGTCAGAGAAGTTCACAGGGCAGCTGAATCTTGCCAGGAAACAAAGGGGAAAGGCTTGTGCAAAGGCACTGAGGGTGAAATCATGAGCACTGTATGCACAGAGAGAAGTACAAGGCATCTGGAGAGTTGCGGGCATGTTGGAGACGGGGCCGACTGGAGAGCGAGCAGGGCTTTGTACCACCTGGAGAGGGAGCCAGCAAAGGATTCTTTGTGGAGAAATTACATGATTGGTCATGAGGTTTCTTGGTTCCTTGCCTTCAAGCATCCTCTACCCTGAAATGGCATTCCCAATCCCACCTTCCTTTTCATCTGGTTAACTCTGATTCGTCCTTCAAGTTTCAGCTCAAATGTCACCTCCCCCAAGGGTCTTTCCTTACCTGTCCCCCGGCAGGCTGGTTGGGACGCCTCCCCAGCTCTCCGCTAGACAGCACACACCCCTTGATCACTTACCACGCTGCACTGTGACTACGGTAGAGCTACGGATGCCTTGTGGGCTGTGATTGTCCCATTTGATGTTTACACCCCCAGTTCCTAGCATAGAGTATGTGCTGGAAATACGCATGTTTGCTTCAGATCCCTGCACATCCCTGCTCTGCAACACAGAGGCCGACCTTTGCAAACGACATATCCAATGGGAGGCACTGGGTGGAGAAAGGGAAGGCCAGGGTGTTTCTCTGCTTCTCTCTCTGCTTGCAGCAGTACCATTGACAATGGTCGTATCTCGTCCAAGCCTCCATCTCCTGCAGGACAACCTCCATCTCCATAGTTCAAGTTCCTGCCAGGTGTCCCATTCTTCTGGGCTCTGATAACACCACCTCCTCCTTTTGTCCCCCTGATATTAGGGGCGGTAACAGCCTCCTCCTGTTGCTAATTCTGAGTTGCTTCATTGTTCTCTTCAGCTCATCCTACCCCATTGTAATTAGTTCCCTGTATCCAA